TATATATATATATATATATATATATATATATATATATATATATATAAATAAATAAAAGTAAATGCACATGATATAATAAATACAATAAATATCTAAATATGTAATTCAATAGACATTTAAAATAACCATATATTAAGCAGATACCTTTGATAAAACTGACATAAACCTACATCATCGCTTTTTTCTTAGCTTAAACGCTTTTAATAAACTAACGTTACGTGGTTTTAATTGCACGCTGTCAATGTTGTTACAAATCAACGAAAATAAAGCTCATTGACGGATAAATACATCATATTTTTACACTTACAAATACAGCGAACAGTAGATATCTCCTGAAACCAGTGCGTTTGTAACAACAAGACCGTTTTCTAACCAAACGCTTTCGTTTCCTGAAGTTTGAATTGCAGCGCGTTGACGTCACATCCGTGATGTGCAGTGGGGTGCGTTTGTTTAAGTGATCCGGAGTGTCTCGAAACACGACATGTTGGGCGGTGCAGTGTGGAAAACATATCGATTTGTTAGGTTATCTGCTGATGTAATTGGAATTACTGGTATTCAATACGATTTCCCTTACTTGATTAAGCTCCTACAGTCAAACGAGTTGGGATATTGGCCTTTTTTGGTTTTCAAGGACTGTTTAATCGGCTACACTCCGATGGTTACGCCCGTACCGGACTGCCCGTTGCACTAAACGAAGCGAACACATCATAAAAGCTGGATTTACTAATCAAACTTGTTTGACGTGTGTCAGAATCGCGGCTCTTTGCAACCTTATAAAGCGACACATCATATGAAAGACCATCTTCATAGAAATTGCGCTACCTCGATGAAAGTATATCCTGCATGATATTTGATAAGCATAACACGAGATTCAAGAGATTGTAGATGGGGTTATACTTCATGATGTTCTTGATATTTAGCCACACTACAGTATGAAATGTAAGTCCCGAATACAATAATATTAAAAAAATTATATGGGCTGTGAAGGATCTTTGCAAATCTTCTAAAAAAAAAAGAAAACAAGAAAGAGTTTGGTATTGAAACCATGTCCTCACTTTCATTAGAGAGAACATACGTATGCCTGTCTTTCAATATTGTGGATTATCTAGACCTTTGTCGATTATTTTCAATGAGTAAAACAGGCAAAGAGGCAGACTTTATTTTCTATGCCTATATCCATAGTGTTCCTGTCAGTGGCCTTGGTGTAAATAGTGGTTGAATTGTGTGTACTGTACAGTAATATCCAAAGTATTATTGTATTGAGAACTGTGATTAATATCAAACGTTAACATTTTGAATTCTGCCATTTTACCATCTGGGTCAATGTTGTATACATACAAAGAATAAATTGGGCACAACTGCAATACATTGGAGACTATGCATGGAAGTTGTCCACATGTTTCTGGTTGATATAATTTTGTTTAATTGAACGTCAGAATCTACAGGCTACAGAGTATACTGTTAAGCTGCTTTGTACATATTACCTCTGATCTTATGGGTGTCCAATCGGTCAATATGGTCCATAATTGCAGCTGTAAATCTCCACTAGCTAACTACTCATAAAGGTAAATATTATCTTTGCTTTCAGTGATTTCACACCTTCTATTTTCACTTGATTTATAAAATTATACAAAGATATTCTAGTGTTTCTGGTTGGCTGTGTTTACTGGTCTGTCCAGAATGTAACTCCCAGCTGAGGGACAACAATATGGATCAGTATGAAGCCTTGTCATGGCTGAGCCAGTAATGGTCTGCTTGGTCAAAGGGCATCCCAGGATTAATTTTGTTCTTGTACCATCAAAGCTATAGGTATCTATAACTCTGCTCCCTGGAGAGAAGAAGACAGATGGAGACATACTCCTCGATACGGTGCACCAAAGCTCCACAGCCAGCTCTAACATGCCAAAGCTGGGAAACTATTCCCACTAGGTTTGACCAACTAAGCTAATTAAAGACTGGAAGGAGACAACAGCATGACAAGTAACATGTCACCACTCGAAATTAGTATTGAAACCCGAGAATTTATCTTGACTACAACATCTTTCACCATTTGGTGATTCACAGTGCTGACAGACTCTCATTCTGCATGGCCCCGGGGTGTCTCACGAGAGCCAGGGAGGAGCTTGGCTCATAGATCCATCTCCTGGTGAGCCACGTTCACATCATCAGCAGAGCCCAAGCAGCTTGACCGCTATGCTGCAGACCTCATGCTGCCTCTGCATTACTGACTGGCCTTGCTTCTATTGCCTGGAGCTGGATCACAGAGTGACCTGCGAGATGCACACTTCTGCCGGGGCTCACATCAGCACTGCACTGTACCGGAGCAACATACAATCTATCAGGGCAAGAGATTCTGTGCTCCATAGAGAGCCCTAATGTATAATCTAAACCTCCTTGATACGATCAGATCAAATGCAGCTTTAATGAAATTGGGCTGCAGACGGTGAACAGTGGAGTTTTGCAAGTTCTCTTGTGTTCCTGTGCTATTTTTTCCGCCTACATTCAAAACACATAGAGGTCAGGTAGGTTCTAAATAGGCCATTTTCAAAGCAGCTATTTTGACATGTCATAGCAGGTGTATTTGATAAAGTTAACTATGGGTGAGCCAGCATGCACAATACCAGAGTCCTGGCCAACCTAAATTGACGAGGGCCAGGATTAATGTTATTGATTACACCCGTATAGGTTGATGCCCCCTGTGACCCTGAAAAGGATTAACAAAAAATGAGTATTTTCGGACCATCAACATGAAAATATCAAATAGAACAAACAAATGCAAAACAGAGATTTTTGCATTAAACAGCATGTGCAAACTTGCTGCCGTACCGCAGCGATCATAGCGGCAAAACGTCATAAAACAAAATGAGATTCATGATCCATTCATATTTCATTAGGATTCATTAAAATTTCTGGATGCTTGTAAAAGCTTTGAAGGGGCACATCAGCTAGTGCTCACCACAAATACACACCGACAGCATAGCATGTTTGGGTGTGTCTGAGCAAAAAACAGAATCATGTTTTTTTACGCTTAAACAAATAAAAGAACGAGATAGCAGGCACCGGCCCGGTGTTCTGGAAATAAACACTTCACTGACTCTATTGACTATGACATCAACACAACTCTGAAAGACGACGACAAAAGTTTATTTTGCCAATGAAATATACAGATCAGTCTGCCTTCCCACACTGAAAATGAAAGAGCTTGTTAAATTTTGGAGCTGCACAATTCCATTACGTTACTGACTTTGTCCTGTCTGCACGACTGGGCATCCTTAACATCTCTCAATTCTTTATTTCTTTTAAAGTATTTGTTTGTTTCCCAGCTTGCCCAGGCACCTTTGCAGTTCTGTCTGATAGAGAGACGGCTGACAAACTGGCTGGTTATCACTTCATGAGAGTTGTACAGATTTTAAGTTTGACACCGTTTTATCTGAGCAGAAAAACTATTTTGTTAAACAGCTTCTTTCTAACAGTAGCGAGATTCAACATGCACACACAGTTTTCATAATTTGACGTTTACTGGTTTGTTTTTTGCGACGTTTCAATAAACCTGAACGTAAAATTGAATAATGTAAAAGTATAAAGTGTAAAAGTGACAATTAGCCAAGACCTTTATAAGTCAGATGTCACACTAGTTCAATTTTAGCTGCACACTGAGAGGCATGAAGCCAAACAAACAAAACAAAATATAAAAATATTATAATATCTGCTTTTTGTTTCACACAATTATCCTGCCGTTTCAAATTGGTTGGACTTTGGACTAGAACGTGTTTAATTCATATATTTCATGTGAAAAGTATCATTCTTGTAGTGACACTGAAAAGAATACGATGATCTTGGTTTTGAACATCTGGACTGGGGTGCAAGTCTAAACACAGGGATCCCAAATATGTTTGAAATGCTTAACTAGTGTGGCAAAAGATTATGTTTATTATACATGAAAGGGAAAATATTACCAAAAAACTATGAATCAGAACACTAGCAGTAAACAAAGGATTTAATTAATCAAGCAAATCAAGTCATCTCTATTTACGTACATGGTCTGGTCTTACTAAACAAAAGACCTACAGTAAATGCAATACACGACAGTCAAACAAGTCCAATGTATATGCATATAACAAAAACACATAACAGTGAAACGTTTTCATGTTCACAAGTAAGCATTAGTCAGAGTTTACTATCTCAGGAAAGATGTATGGAGTTGGGTGTGACACTTGTGACTACTATAATAAATAATAATTTTCAATTCTCTCCCTTTGTTTCTTTCTCCCTCTTCATCTCTTATCTCAGACCAGCTTTCTCTCTCTCCTCTCTCTCTCTCTCTCTCCCATCACTTCACGCTGTCCCCTTTTCTCACCCTCCCTTTCATCGCCTTTGCTCTCACATCTTTCCGTTCCCTCCATAACTCTCGCTGATGCCTGAATGACTTTTCACTGGCACATCACAAAAACGATCACAGGGGCAACATCTACTAAAATTGCAAGTAGGATCGAAACAGTTTTCATACCGTATAGATATTCTACAGCCCTTTTCAGAACTGAATACACACCCATTTATGTGAGCGCTATTAAATATCTCCCTCATTTTTACTCTCTTTTAATGCCTGTGTGACATTTGTTCATCCTTCTACAAGAAACACCATCGTCCACACCTCATTTTGTGTGAGCCCTTGTGAACTCACTGGTGTTATTTTAAACATTCTGGGTCTAGTGATCAAATCATTGCTCTTCACCCTCCACAAAACCAGCCACTGTACACTCCAACGAGCTGGAGTCGAAGAGAGCTGAGCATGACAGATTGAGATGTGACTCAAGATCGTGAGGTTGCAATCAATTAAGGCCCTAATAGATATTCCCCGGGCCTCTATGTTTCAAGGAGAAAGACAACTTATTTTCAAAACCCTAAAAGCTTCATTAAATGTTCCTCCCGATGATATTAGGAAAAGACTGCAATGGATATTTTTGTGTTGCCATGAAATAAACAACCATTATACTACCAGTGTGATGATCATGTTCAACAAAAATACTCATTACAAAATGTAATTAATGAACAACCAAATCCTGCCAAGCCCAACTTTGACAGATTCCAGGGTTGATTTCCCTATGCTGATCCATGGTGGGCAAATTTAACAGAGATAAGCCGAATGAACTGTTCTGCTTTCTGCCACAGAAACACCAAGCACACACTGCTTGAGAGTTTATTACATTTTCGGAGGGGGAATGAAGTAAAGAAAGTAATAGTGTGTCCCTGTGTGTGTGTGTGTGCTGTGCTGTAGTTGAGGCAAGTCCAGGTCTGAATCCCGAGGAAGTCACAACTAAGACTCAAATATTCAAGTGGCGTAACCTGGGTTCAAGA